GAAAACAAACGCTGTAGTCCAAACGAGCCATTCGTTGTAGTTCTTGAAAAGGGATTTTTCAAAAACGAAATATCTCCCTTTGGAGTGGACTTTTTAACTTGAGATTTAACTAGATTTAACTAGATACTTTTTTATGCCCACACATACACACTACACACTGACTAAAATTAATTCATAAAAAGTGAAAAAGCATAATAGGACCCCTTTAAGTACAAATTCTTAATCTGTGGCCATGAATTATCCAAAATTATGGAATGAATAGTTAATAGTAGGCAGGATTTGACTAAAAACAAGGCAACAATTTAATAAAACTAAGGAGCGAATTCTTAATTTGTGACCATGATGAATATACTTTGGTCCACATGTTAAATGTGGGGCTTATTTTGGTTCACAATGGTTATTATTTGGTCACAATGAATTGACAGACTCGCTTTGGGGTCCAACTGAGGATAGGTTTTATCAAGATAACGTATTTAAAACACTGTCCAGCTTTGTATCAGAGTCTAGAGTGCCTCACTCTCCTGAGCTCTGCCTGCTGTTTGGTCATCCTTCCCTCATTAGCAGCCTGCACACGAACACAGGGCGCATGCAACATACAGACAAACACACATGTCCTTTTTTAAAAGGAAAAGACTGAGAAAATTGGAGGAATGCAAAAGAACGGCTTTTCACAGGGATGCAGCTATTCATTACCAGTCGAGCTTCTCATCAGGTTCAGGAAGCCATTGGTAGGGCTCATCTGAGAGGTGACTGCTAGCAGATCCCGGCCCAGACTCTTGGCTATTTTCATGGAGAACACTTCAGTGTAATTGCCTTCCAACTGAGGCTATATTTTGTTGCTGAGAAAATTGGAGCGCAGCACAGACCTCTCCTGCTGCAAACGGGTTTTCATTTCCCCCTAAACAAAAAAAGCAGGGAGAGTGACAAGCTTTAGGATGTAAATACCAGCTCGGCACTGAAAAGCCTCCTGCCATTTCGTGAAGGGGGATATTGAAAGTGCAGCTATTTACGCTGTTTAAAATTGCAAGAGTAGCTTATGTGCTTCACAGAATCTGTAAAATGTCAAGAACAAGCCAGCGTCTCCTTCCTGCTCCGTTCATATCCACCTTGACAGGCAGGATTAAAATTGACATTCATACTGGATTATTATTGGCGTGACTGCATAAGAGAACCTCTGTGCTTGAAAGTAATGAAAGAATTAGAGAATTGAGTGCAGGAATTCATTATCATAACCCAGTGGAAATGGTCTCGAATGTGAAATGTAGGATTTGATGAAGATAGATATGAATCCTCCATAAAATGTGTATAATTGCTGGAGGGATCATCCTGGGAATTATCTTGATGTATTAATTTTGGTAGTGACATGATTAGATGATCATTAGATTTGCTACAGTAAAACGCAAAGGCTGAGGCTTTGCTTACGCTACCATCTAAAGGTTTTTTTTTTTTTTTTATGTGATGGCAAAGCTGAATTTTCAACAGTCATTACTCCAGTCTTCAGTGTCACATGATCCTTCAGAAGTCATTTTAATATGCTGCATTTGCTGCTCAAGAAACATTTCTTATTATGTTGACATTTTATATTTTTGTGGAAACTGTGATGCATTTTATCTCAGGATTTTTTGATGACTAGAAAGAAGAGCATTTACTTGACATAGAAACCTTTTGTAATCGTCTTTACTATCACTTTTGATCAATTTAACACATTCTTGCTAAAAAAAAGTATTAATTTCTTTCAAAAACACAAACAAAAAACTATGGACATTTGAACAGTATATATTGTACGTCGAACAATATACAAGTGTATATTTTCAGCTAACTCAGCTTGCTTACATTAAACATAAATGGCATAAATGAATACATAAATACATACAATGTATCATACAAAGTGGCATCTAGAAACAAAAATACTTTTTCTCAGAACTAAACAACCAGATAAACCAGCTAATGTTTTGTCATCAGGGAATGGTTTAAGATTCAGTTTACGAGCAAAATTCATCTTACCTAACAATAATCCTTTTCCACACAATCTTCAAATCATATTTATGTATATTCTGACCTACTTTTCAAAGTTTCCTTATTTTTTAATGAAAGAGAGACTCTTTCGGCTGAGTTCTAATTTAATACTCAAATTCTGAGTAAAATAGCACTAGCAATCAAGTCTTTCTTTCTGTCTGATTGGGCACGATTAATAATTTAGTTGAATTTGACGAGTGTCTCATCTATTCGGTAGCAATTTCCTGGGCAAGAGACGAGAAACTGATTGATGGCCTATTGTCGGAAATAAGTGAGACCTCTTTCCCACAAGCCAGCAGTTAGTAGCAAACTTTAATCTCCTCCTAGTAAACATTCATCTTACCCTGAGCAACATCTCTCTCTGTCTGTCTCTCTCTCTGTGGTTCTTTTGGCATCTCTGTCGGTTTAATTAACTGGGATTAGAAGCCACCACAGTGTCTTCTAAGGCTGGTTTATGAGTAGCACACTAAGAGGTCATCAGGGGTCTTACATGAAGGAAAATCCGATCTCACAGAGCTTTTTGACAGAAGCAAACACTCGGTAAAGCTACTTATGAAGTCTGAAGGCCAAGTCTTACATTTTTAATCTTTGAAAGAGGCTACTGATATAATAGCTGAATAATTTTCAGTTAAATGCAAATTCTTAATTAATAGACATGGCAAAGTAGCAAGACTTTAGCAGAAAAAAAACTGTTCTCAGACTAATTTAAGCAGTCTGTAAAGTGTGTTTTATAACGTCAGTTACATTTTATTGCAATATTCCTCTGTCATGCCATACATCCTGTTCATATAAATAGCTTGCTATGAATAGTGTTTTGGATTCGTTACACATATTTGCTGTCACCATATGTTTGATGTACTGACACCACAAGCTGTCTGTGAACATGCATCACATCACTCTCAACTCACAGAAAGCATCCAGAAAGAATCATTACAATGTGTGTGTGTTTCTATTTCAGTGATGATGAAGTAAAGATGTTCAAAAATACATTTTAAATAAAAGCACTAAAAGGCTGCTGGAAATCATAAATACATTTGCATACATACATACGTACTATATGTTAAGTTGTAATAATATTGCACATTATGATTGTTTTACTGCATTTTTGATCAAATAAATCCAGCCTTGTTGAGCCTAAAATACTTCTTTCAAAAACATTAAAAAATCTCATAAATCACAAACTTCTGAACAATAGTGAACATTTAACAAACTACTTCAATTGTCTGTGCTTAGTCAGATTTACTGAATAGAAAGTGTTTGTGTGCCTGTCACCGCATGTGGAGCTTCAAGCCTGACAGAAGTCTTTTCAAACAATGGACATTTTTAAAACAATCGTCAACTGTGTTGATAAATCTGTTTACAATGACTTTTCAATGTGTCAAAATATACTCAGCATGAAACTCTTCATGCAGCTTTGCAGTCCTTTCACTAGCAATATGAATACTGTAAAACATGTCTAAACATGTACAAACGTAAATATTTTCAAAATATATACTGTATGTGCGTGTATTTATATATACATAATAAATATACACAATACACATACATGTATAATGTAAACAAAAACTTTCATTTTGGATGCTATTAATCGCGATTAATCGTTTGACAGCACTACTGATTAGTATACTAATTTCATATGCATTCCTTTATGTAATCGTCTTTCTTAACCTGAGAACAGTTCCTGGTGGTGTGAGTGTGGCAGCGATATAATGTAAAGATTGTGAAAAGCCTGTTTTTGAACAGATCGAGGAACAGACAACACTGTCATCAAAAATAACTCTGCAGATGTCTGAGAGAAATCTTGCCTAGAAAGAGCACACATGGTCTCTCCACATGTGATGAACGGGCCTCTATGCATTTCTGTTCTACGTCTCTCTCCCATTCTTCACATCCATCTATTTTTGGTCCAATGCTGTTTGTTATATCTGGTACCACCTACAAAGCCTTTAATTAGCTCAAATCTGCTTCGCTCTCTCCCAAACTGATGCACTTGGAGCCCCTCCACTGTAAAAGACCATCATGAAGCATAACCCCCCAAATCAAAAGGCCATCAGGACAAAAGGAAGCTAAAATTGCTAATACTGGATTCCATGAAAATTGCAGAATGAGATGCCATATTAGGAGCGGGTGCATTTTTATCTGACACACAGAGAATGGAGTCTTCAAACAAAACCCTCGTCATGTCGAGAGAAGCAAAACAACAGGGATTAAATATAGATTTCTCTGCTCTTTGTCAGCCAAGGCAATCTCAAAAACAAAAAGCAATCAATAATGCTCAAAAGAAAACGAGGAATGGGACAAAACCATTTTAAGAGCATTTCAGCAGGGACTTGTTTCCGTTCTGCTTTCAAGTCGGAATCTGTTTTTTGTTTTTTTTTTGCTTTGTGTTGCAGGCCTGCGCCGGAGTTACTCGTGCAGCGTTTGCAAGGTAGTGCTGAACTCCATCGAGCAGTATCATGCACATCTCCAGGGCTCCAAACACCAAAACAAGTGAGTGTGGATTTTCTGTCCTGAATGATATTCCCCTCTTTCAAGTCTTTCCAAGAGACTGCTCGCTTGATATTCAAGGAGACTTAATGGAGTTACCATGAATGTTTCATTTAAGTACAGTAGCAGAAATAAAAACAGAGAAATTAGAAAAAAATAGATCAAATTTAATTTCTTACTTTTGATTCCACACCTCTGTGTCTTGACAAATCGGACTGCAGTTTATGACATTGTTAAAATGTAATTTAATGCCATTGCAATATAGAAAAAACAAAGGTGATTCCAAAAAGATGATAAAATTATATAATATTAAATATAATTATTAGCATATTAGAATGTTTTCTGAAAGATCATGAGATACTAAAGACTGAAATAATGACTGCTGAACATTCAGCATTGCCATGACGGGAATAAATGATACATATTTTAAATAGTTTAAAATATAATAAAATACAAAACAGTTTTTTAATTGCAATAATATTTTACAATATTACTGTTATATTACAAACTTGCATATACAGCATATGGACATTTTTAAAATGAAAAAAAAAAAGAGAGACAACAAAAATATTAATATCTTATCTAAACAAAATGGTTCCTGGAATGAAAATGTCAACCTCTAACTGTATCTTAGAATTACAAAATCATAAGAAAATAATCCAGTTCTGCTTTTACCAAGCTGTACTATAAACTAAAGGTTATTAGCCATTTTTTTATATATATATATAAAAAAAAAAAAAAGGACAAACCCATACTTCCTGTTTCACAACAGTTGTTTATCGATACAATCTTTAAACTCTTTCATCTTTCTCTTTAAATCTCTTTGTATCCCTCATGTCTTCTCTAAGATTGGCTTATCGGTCATATTTCTTATACATAACCTGACATCTGCTTCTGTCCTCAAAGGGAACATCAGTGGTCGCCTCAGTTATCATAGTCTGCTCAGGTCTGCTGCCTCCTGTTGAGTTCAATAGAAATCACTGTGATACTGCCATAACTTTCCACACCGCACAGACAAATCATGCAGGATACCTTTATGTGTGCTGCTGACCGGGGATGTCTGTGATTAAAACACTCTGACTTAAGGCTGCAATTTTAAAACATCAGTTTCTATCTTTCTTTGAACTCAAAGCACAGCTCCCTACTAAGAACCATGGGATGCTACATTCCCATTAGCCTTCTTAAAGCGACAGTTAACTCAAAAAACAACTCACCCTCATGTTGTACCATATGCTGTTTTTTTTCTCACAAAAGGAGAGGTTTTGGAGGTCTTTTCCATAACTGCATCTGCCAACCACCATAAAGAGCAGAAAGATATCAAAAAAGTCATTATTCACAGAAAATCTTCCCCATCCGCTGTAGCTTTCAAATAAAAAATGTTTGCAAATAAATGAATATAAACATCATTGGTTCATGTGACTAAATGTAGTTATCAAACCAGATTTTTTATGCTTACTATAAACAGTCATTTGGAAATTAGAATTTCATCTTATTCTACTAAAGTCTCTTTAAGGGAGATTTTTAAGTAACCATGTAATGGAACAGTTTATTGAAACTTTAGACAAAATATAAAAATAAAAAAAACTGCATGTGTATTTTTTTGTTGAGTGTATTTGATACATCAGTCTTTTATGGCTCATATAGTAGGATATAGGAAAATATGAAGCTCATATTTCCACTTGTGGAGGAAAAAAACCTTACATTTATTCAGAGCAAAAAATATGCAATTTGGTGCAGTTGCTGATATTTATATGGCAAAAAGTAAGATAGAATTCTCATAGCTTGTAATTCATTAGAGGCCTTAGAAATGTGCATATCAAATATATACAGTATACATTTGATTTCCATATCAAATATATACAGTAGGATTTGTTAACTTGACCAGCAAAATGTTTTTAACCAGCATCACAAGTTTTTTTTTCTTTCTGATTAAGTGGAGGAACAGCAAAAAAAGTCATTATTCTTCACAAGCTAATTTTTGCTGGTAAACATGTTGGCTAAACATCTAGATTAGCCTGAACCATCAGGAAAGCTCATGCTAGACTACAGTGGTTATTTAAGCAGGTTGGTATAACATGATGTTTTCTATTCAGACCGAGGTGGGTAAACATTACCACCTGTGAGCACTTAGAAACAATTAAAGTCACTTCTTGTTTCCGTCTGGCAGAGCCCTCTGTGCATCAGCAGTGGTGTTTAGTTGATCTGCCACCCCGTTTGCCTCCAAATACACCCAACCGCCTCTAGCAGGACATGCCCATCAACCTCGTAATGAAATAAAAATGATTTAGAGCAAGAAAATGAAGTAAGAGAGAGGAAAAGAGATAGCAGAGCTCCCGCTGTTTGTCCAATCACTCACACGGTTGACAGAAATGAACCCACCTTCATACAAGGAACTGTCAGGTTTAGAGCCTGTGGTGAAGGCGCTTTTTTATCGTCTTCACTTTGAGGCAGCTGGCCCATTTCTGCGAGCTACGTGAGACGACTGAAACCGCTTCCAGCAACCCCTAATTGCTCTTCACAATAAACCAATTGATTAACATGCCAACAGAGTCGGGGGTGGGCAGCAGGACTCCAGCTGAAATCCAAATCACCACTATCTTACAATCATTAATTGTAATTAGAGCTACATCCTCTCGTACGAGGAATCACTGACAGCCAGGAAGAGTATTGATTAAAGAGGATGTTTTCCTATCTTGTCGCTGCAGCGGGTCTCTGCGTATTCTGATTAAGCGGAGGAAAGTTTCATGTAAGGGTCTGTTTTGCATTAAGACAGTAAAAAAAGAGCCGTTTTTGTCTTGTAACCCCCCTGCAGAACATCACCGTTCAGGATGCTGTTGTGGGAGGACAGCATTTCCGATCTGTGCCCAACACAAGCAGCTTCCTGCTACATACACATTAACTTTCTTTGTTGTAAACGAACCGCTGCAGTCCACAGCAGTTAACATGCTTTGCCAACCTGCATTTAGCAATGAATACAAACCTCAGCAAATGGAGAATATTTATTCATAATATAAAATGTCTATATATATATATATATATATATATATATATATATATATATATATATATATATATTCTAATATATTTTTTTT